TTCAGCAAGTTGACCCAGAACTGACTTCAAGTGACACATCATGGGTCAGACTCTTCTCCAGCACCTAGCACATCCTATAGGAGCTCAAAAGGAAGTGACTGAGTCAGGCAGATGGAGCATGCCTGTAATCCCAGTGACTTGGGAGGCTGCGGCAGGAGGATCGAAAGTTCCAAGCCAGCCTCAGCAACTTAGGGAGGACCCAAGCAACTCAATGAGACCCTGTTTCTAATAAAATTTATAAAAAGGGCTGGGGATGTGGTGAGGTGGTTAAGTGCCCCTGCATTCAATCCTTAGTACTACAAAAAAAAAAAAAAAGTGTCTGGCTAAATGAATGAATAAAAATTAATTAGTGAAGACCACAATCTACCTAAAGTCAACCGCAAGGACAGAATAAGAAGGGCCAGGAAACTGACACTGACTGAACACCTGAGAGGAGCCAGGTATTGGACTAGGGACTTGGCATATGATTTTTATCTTAGAGGTGAGGAAATTGAGGCTCAGAGGTCCAGAACTCCCCAAGGTGGCAGAACTAACTAACAAACAGCATGTTTGGCTCCAGAGCCCTGTCCCTTCCTGTTACACTTTGAAATTTTAAAAATGCAGTTATACTTGGGGCTGGGCCTGGGGCTGGGGCTGAGCGGTAGAGCGCTCGCCTAGCATGCATGAGACCCTGGGTTCAATCTTCAGCACCACATATAAATAAGTAAATAAAATAAAGGTATTGTGTCCACCTACAACTAAAAACTAAATTTAAAAAAATGCAGTTATACTTAATGCATCCTTACTGCCAGGTGTGGTGGTGCATACCAGCACTCCCAGCAACACAGGAGGCCCTAAAGCTATTTAGCAAGACATTGTCTCCAATTAAAGAAAGGGGGCTGGGGCTGCAGTTCTTGATAAAGCACTTGCCTCCAATGTGTGAGGTACTGGGTTTGATCCTCAGCGTTCATCTACAATATATATCCATATATATATATATATTTTTTTTTAAAGAAATGCTACAATAATTTAAATACATACACACATTCACATACACTTACTGAACCTCTGCTGTGGACAGGGTACGTGCTCAGTGCTGGGACATCCAGAGTAGGGGATACAATAGTTAAGATGAGAAAGCTAGCTGGGCACTGTGGCACATGCCTATAATCCCAGCAACTAGGGAGGCTGAGCCAAGAGGATCGCAAGTTTGAGGCCAGCCTCAGCAACTTAGTGGTCCCTAAGCAACTTAGTGAGACCTTGTCTCAAAATAAAAAAATTAAAAGGGCTGGGGATGTAGCTCAGTGGTACAGTGCCCCTAAGTTCAGTCCTCGGTACGGTGTATGGGTGTGAAGGTGAGAGGGCTAGGGGTGTAGTTTAGTGGCAGAGCACCCATCTAGCATGCTAAAGACTTCTGATCCCATCCCCAATACTAGGGAAGAAAAAAAAAAGAGGAGAGACAATTTGGTCCTCCAAGGTCCTCAAGGAGAGAGATATGCCACCTATACACCTTTCTGTCATAAGGCAAAGAGTAGGGGATTTTTAAAGTAAGGCCTTCTGCTCTCATTGCCATAACCTTAGATTGAGCAGGCAGGGGTGGGGGGAGAAGAGCCCCTGGATAGCAAGGTGGCTTGGCTGTAGCCTGGCTGGCAGGACTGTTAATGGAGGGGGAACTGAACAAAGGAGCCCATTGGCTTCAGGAAGCAAATGAGAAGCTTGGAAAAAACCCACCCTGCTGGTAGTCTCGGCAGCTCTGGCGACTGAGGCAGGGGGATTGCAAGTTCAAAGCCAGCTTCAGCAACTTGTTGAGGCCCTGAGCAACTCAGTGAGACCCTGTCTCTAAAAGAAAATATAAAAAAGGGACTGGGGGTGTGGCTTAGTGGTTAAGTGCCCCTGGGTTCAATCCCGGGTACAAAAAAAAAAGGCAATAAAACAAAACCCACCCCAAACCTGCCTCCTCTAGGTGCCCACCCTCAGGTCCCTCTGTGCTTAGGCATTCCCCCACATGACCTGGAGGCACATGCTACACACACCAAATACACCATGCCACACATCTAAGTGTGCGTGCACATGCACGAGCATGTCCTGCCCTCCGGGTGCCAGGTTCATACAGGCTCCTCTCCTGCCTTGGAGGATATTTGCCTGGAGTCACAGTGTAAGCCCCAGGGTGGACATTTACACACTCAAAGGGCTGATTTTTGCTTGTTGGATCAGTGATGTGGGTCCAGCAGGGACTCGCCTTGCCCACCTTACCCTTCAGCCTGTCCCTTCCCCACTTAGTAGTCATGCCCACTCACACACACTTGTTTCTGCCCTTTGTTTTTCCACCCTGGCCAAATCCCCATGGCTTCTTTGGTCATTAACCTCCTGCTTTAATTGGCTTATTGGGGAGGAAAGCAGAGGTAGGGCAAATTCAGGGTGGGTGTCTGGGGGGAATCTCATTTCAACCGGGACAGGAAAGCTCAAGCCATCTGGTAACCCTACAAAAATGCCTGACACACAATAAGTCCTATGCAACTATCTGCTCTTTCCATTAATATGAAAAACGGTCACCTGGTCTTCAGTATAAACTTCCCCAGATGAGAGCCCTGTAGTCTCCAGTACCAAGGATCCTCCAATCCAGGTTTCTGGGGACAAGTGTCTGAAACAGTCCACTCTCCAGGGCCCTGTCTTTCCCATTCTTCCTCTTCTATACCTGCTTGATGGCAATAGCACCCAACCCCATAATAAGATTTCTTGTTATCTTCTGTTAAACCCTCCATCCAGGGAACACCCTGCCCCAACTCTGGAGAATTCTGGGGTTCTGGGTCCAGGCTTCTCCTTCCTTGGATCTGCCCAGCAAAGGAGAAAGAGCCCTGCAGTGTGGCAACCCCTCAGCACCTCCAGGGATCCCACCCTTTCCTTGGTGTGCAAAGTCAGTGTTTCCAAGAATCAATTGAGGGAACTGAGTTTAAATTTGCTAAGCCTTTAGGGCCTCAAAGTGCACGGGTCTATGAGGTCATGTCACCCATTTCCCTGCCTCCAAGAAAACTAGTTCAGATTTCAGTTCCCAAGGCACTCTAGAAAAGGACACCTTATCACTGTGGCTCACCCACTCATTCTTTTCTTTTTTTAGTTATATATAACATTATGATACATTTTGACATAATCACAAAAGCGTCGAATATAATTAGCTCTAATTCAGTCTGCAGCATTTTACCCCCTCCCCTTTCTATCTGCCCCTGCTCCTGCTCCTCTCCCTCTACTGATCTTTCTGTAATTTATTTGTTTATTTATTTTTAAATCAGTGTATTGTGGATATATTTGTTGTTGTCACCCACCCATTCTTATAAAACTTTTGGAAAGTCTAATCTCAAGCCCTCAAACTGCAGTGTCATTCATTCTCTTGGGAAAGACCCAGAGATAAAAAACGGTAACAAAAAAAAAAAAAAAAAAAGAGCCGAAGGCATGGGGTAAAGGGGAGAAGACAGTATTGCGTTGCACCTCAACTTCCCCCAAATGCCTCCTGAAGGTGTCCAACTGTCTGATTCAAGCCTTTCAAAACTTATTTTCAACTCTCACCAAATTCCCAGCTTCAGAGGGGCTAAACTAACGGGTGTTCAGCTGGACAGAGGCGAGCGAAGCAGAGTGGACTGATGCTTGGTGTTGAGAAGCACATCACCCCCAGACCGGGTTTCCAGCGCAGGCCCGAAGGAAGCCTGGGTTCCCGGCAGACCCCCGGTCTTTGCTCCCTCCGTTGGCTACACCCGAAGTTCAAGGCCTCACCAGGACTTTGGCCGCCTCGCGGCTCTCCGGCCCCTTCTCCCTCGTCTTCCTCCCGCGTCACTCCAGCTTCCCCGCCCATTCCACGGCTCAGAAGGACGCGGACTAACTCACCTCCCAGCCGGCGCCTCTGAGATCTCCGGGACAGGGGGGCCGAGGGGGCGGGAGGGGGACAGTCTGCTGCTTAAGGATGGGGAGCCCCATTCTCTGCCAAGGGCCCACGCCCAGCCCGCACCCCCTCCGGGCCCACGGAGCGCCGAGGCCGGTCCTCCCCCCATCGCGGCTGCGGGCTTTGTCTGCCGCGCCGCGAACCTCTCCCCGCGGCCCGGCCGACTCGACTCCGGCGGCGGGGAGGGGAGCGCGAGGGAGCGGGCGGGGAGGGGAGGAGGGGAGACGGGAGCCTCAGTGACCCGGCGGGGACCGCTCCCGCCCCGGCCCCTTCATTACCATAAGAAAGAGGGCCCGGACGGGCCGGGACCGGGAGGGAGCCGCGCGCGAGGGGGCGAGGGGGCGAGGAGCGATCGTCCTTTTCACACCCGTCTGTTTCTGCACACTGTCCCCTCTCCCTGTGTCCGCCCCCAGGAAAAATTAGGGACCTCGACTTCCACCCCACCCCTAGCTGTGCCTGGGAGCGGTGCGTAGAGAGCCAAAGGCACATCCCTACCCGCCTCGGGTCAAGGAATTCGTCCCCGCGCCCCGAGGGCGGGAAACTACAACTCCCGGCATGCCCCGGGCGCCCCCGGCGCGCCCCCCTCCCGTCAGTTCCATGCTGCTCCATCCAGTTCATTTAAAACAAAAGAGTTTGAGCGCTGGAAGGGGCTGGGCTCTACTGGGGGCCAGGGCGCGCAGCTCCAGGACTGGGGCTTGGTGCGGGAGCCTAAGGGGGGCGTCTGGACGGCGGAGACTAGAGACTCCCGGGTCCGAGGCGGGAGGGGTGGGGGCCGAGATCCCGCAGCCCCCCGCCCCCCGTCACCCCCGGAGAGGAGCGGAGATCGGCTTTCTTGGTTTTGCTTCTCTTTACCCCCACCCCCACCCCGGGGGCTGGGGCGAGGGGAGTCGGGTTACAGGGTGTTTGGGGAGGGGGGCTTAGGGGGAGGGGCTATCTTTCTATCTCGCTTTCTTCCCCCCTCCCCAGTTCTTTGTTCCCCCCTCCCCACACACCCCCTCCTCTCCTCTCCCCTCCCCTCCTCTCTCCTCTTTTCCCTTCCACCACCTCTCTCTCTCCCTCTCTCTCTCTCTCCCCCAGCTTTTGTTTCGCCATGCCTAGTCTAGTGGTATCTGGAATAATGGAAAGAAATGGGGGCTTTGGAGAACTAGGATGTTTCGGGGGAAGCGCTAAGGACCGAGGGCTGCTGGAAGACGAGCGCGCCCTTCAGCTGGCTCTTGATCAACTCTGCCTCCTGGGTTTGGGGGAGCCCCCCGCCCCCACGGCGGGCGAGGACGGGGGAGGTGGGGGGGGCGGCGCCCCCGCGCAGCCTGCCGCCCCCCCGCAGCCGGCCCCGCCGCCGCCGCCCGCGGCGCCCCCGGCCGCCCCGACAGCGGCCCCCGCGGCGCAGACGCCCCAGCCCCCCACCGCCCCCAAAGGGGCGAGCGACGCCAAGCTCTGCGCTCTCTACAAAGAGGCCGAGCTGCGCCTGAAGGGCAGTAGCAACACCACGGAGTGTGTACCCGTGCCCACCTCTGAGCACGTGGCCGAGATCGTGGGCAGACAAGGTAAGCGGGCACCGGGACCACGGAGTGGGCTGGAGTGGGGGGCACCCCATTCCCCGCGCGGAAAGTTCATTTCTTCCTCTCTTGCCCGCCCCTGCCCTGTCCCTTCCCCACAAAGGGGGACCCGCCCCCTACCCTGATTTCCAAGTGCCACAAAGTTCCCTGCTACCCTCAGTCGGGACGGTTCTCCAGACCCTTCCTTCCCCAGGGCTCTGCCCTTAGACAAAGAAATATCCTCGAACTGGGAAGAGGGAAAGGGGAGGGGGACCGGCCTCCCAATCCAGGGAGGCTGTCCGGAGGGGGTGTCCGCTCCTAGCTAGAAAAACTGATGGAATGTGCAAAGAGTTGCGCAGGAGCCCCTAGTTCAGTATCTGCTTGTAGGTTGGGGAGGGGGCACTCCTGGGACCCCCAGCTGCCTGGAGTTAAGGACTTTGGGGGAGACCTGGCCCGGGAAGCCAGCCTGAGTATCTGTCTCTTTGTTGGGCTGAGTGTAGGAATGGAAGGGGGTGTGGCTCACCGAGGGTCCGGGTCTGGGGGAGAGGTGGAATGGGGGGCCGCTGGGAGGAGGGGTTCCTGTGGTTACCCACACACCAAAGTTGGAGGATCCTCGGTGTTTTGGAAGGGGTGTCTCCAAGGAAGTGCTAGTCCTGGTGTGGACCGCTGCTTCCTCTCTGGCTTTTGTTCTGGGCTGGCCACGGCCTGGGGCCAGAGGCCTGGAGAGGGGTCTCTGAGTGAGAAAGTGGGACAGGGCCGGAGGGGAAATGCCGGGGTAAGGGTGAGAAGGCTTCACCTGGAAATTTGGCGAGGGGTGTGTGTCTGGGTGTGTTGGCAGGGGGTGTAGTATTAATCCAGCGTAGAATGTCTGATACCGCACCCTCCTCAGCCCAGCATCCCTGGGCGGGTGGGTGGGTGGGGGTGTTGGGAAGGGTCCAAATTGAGCAGACGGGATCTTGGGGACCCTTCCCTCTCCCGGTTTCCCAAAGGGGGGGCGGGATTTGGAAATTGCGAAGGGGCTGGGCTGGGGAGGTGTGGGGTGGGGGAGGAGCGGGGGAGGAGCTGTCCCACAGTGGGGAACAATAGAGGAGCTGCATTCCGGCCGGGAGTGAGGGAGGAGGCCGGCTTCTGGCGGCGGAGGAGGGGAAGCAGGCCGGGGGGGGCCCTACTCCACATCCCACCTCATCCACTGGGAGTCTGGGGGCTGGGGAATTTAGAGAGCAGAATGGAGGAGGGGAGGATGCCACTCCCCTGCATGGCCCTGAACCCCTCTGGGGCTCCTGATCTCCTGAGATTTCTGATTTAGAAAGTTGGATTTCCTCTTCTTAGAAACTGGGGATCCTGATCCTAGAACTGGGTGGGGACACTAATATCTTTTCTTGGGTGTGGGGGTGGTGGTCTTGGGAGGACCCGGAATTTAATGGAGTCATTCTTTACTCTTCTGCCTCTGCATCATAAAAGTAGGGGGATTTCTCCTATTCAGAGAAGATATGCCTCCCCCTCCCCTCATTCCTTAAGTACATGGAAGTCCTCCCTCTTGTCTGACCTCCCTCCTCCTGCTGCAATTTAATGCTCTCTATTTGACCTCTAGGAAGGTGGGGCCCAGTGGGTTTTTCCTTCAAGAGATACTTGTTCAGAACTGCAGGACCCAGGATGAGGCCCACCCCAGTTCTGTCCCTCCAGGCCTCTAGATTTTCTCCTTAGCCGTATACCCTGGCCTCCCCTCACTCCAGCCCCAACTCTGAAATATACCTAGCTCCCACTTAAGTTACTGACCCCAAACTTAGAGCCTGAACCCAGGTGCCCATCAGATGGCATGTTAGTAGGAGTGGCAGGAGAGGGGACTTTAAAGCTCCGCAACCCTCCAAGCCTCACAAATAGAACAATCATTTACTGATATTAAAGCAGCACAGATGTGGGCTTGACAACAGGTAGGACTTAACTGCCAAAGGCTGAGGAAGAAGCCATCTGGAGTGGAGGAAAGAGATTTAAAAAAAAGAAACAAAGAAAGAAAGAGCTCACTCTGGCTTGTGGTTGGAGGGTTGGGGCAGTCAGAAAAGTGGACCACTTGGATTTGGATAGGTGGTGTGTTGGGAAGAGAGAAAGGGGAGAGTGAATTGTTGGTGGAGATGGGTGTGAGCACAGCTGTGTGTGAATGGGGCCAAAGTTATTTGTGTGCTCAGGAATGTGCAGTTTGTGTGCTGGCTGGGGAGGATGGGAATGGAAACACCAGGACCCCATGTGCAAGTGAAAGGGGCATATGAAAGTGTATTTTGTGCTCACCCCACAGGTATTGTTGAGATAAAGGCACTCCGCACCCCTGCTCTTAGTGCATGTGTGCAAACTCACAGGCATGTGCCATGTGTGCTTCGAGGAAGAGTGTGGTCCTCTGAGACTGGGGGCTCGCAAGGCATGTGGAGGAGGAGGAGAGGGCTTGTGGAGCCAGCCGTGGAGGTCTCTAGCCTTTCCCCACCGTGCTGCACCCCAGCCTCCCTCACTTTTCTCTCTCCCCTTCTCCCTCTTTGTCTCTTTGTCTTGTATTTCTTTTTTCTCTTCCTGCCTCTCCCTCCAGCCTCCCAGCTTTGACCCACTCCTCTTTCAAAGCAGAGGTATGGATCCAGAATACCCTTTTCTACCACCCTACTCAGCCCCTAGGCCATCTCAGCTCTCCTCCCCCCCACCCAGGGACAAGGGGACAGGAGTGACATGGGTTGCATGCTGCTCCTCCACACGGGAGGGGGGGTTCTTTATCATCCTACTCCTCCGTTCTCCCTTGAAATTCTGATTCTCAGACCCTCCCCGGCATCCCCCTCTGCACCAATTGCTGCAAATGCATTATGATTTGGGGACCCTCAGAGAGAGACTACTGGGTAGAAGACATGGGGGGAGGTCACAGAGCAGATGGAGGTCAGTGTTCCTGAGTCAGCTGCAGGACACTTGTGATGAATGGAGGCTAAATGAGGGGTAGATTGTGAGGTTACTGAATGCATTGGGGTTCAGTGTAAAGATTGGGGTTGGTGACAAATGGGGGTGGTAGTAAGTGATTTGGAAGTTTGTCAGTAGCCAGAAAAATTGAGGGGACAGCAAATGTTTGGGGAGGAGTTTTTGAATGGATATAGGGGAGCAGTTTGTCTGGGAGGATGATTATTTGGGGGTTCGGAGGAGTGAGTGAATTCGGAAGGTCCTGGATGGAACTTGAGTGGAAGTTGGTGCGTTTTGAAGTCTGTGGTTAACAGAGACACTGGGTAGATCTGAGATCCCGTGAGTGGATTGTTCAAGTTGGGTGGGCTGTGTGTGCGGTGGTGAAGTCTTCACTGGGCGGACTGAAGGGTTTGAGGAAAGTTGGGCATCTGGGAAGGAACCCGGAGCTATCTAGGCCTAGCATGAACCTCCTTGTCCTGTAAGTTTATTTCTCTTCCCCTTCCCTACTGTATCCCAGGCTGCAAGATTAAGGCTTTGAGGGCCAAGACCAACACCTACATCAAGACACCGGTTCGGGGCGAGGAGCCTGTGTTCATGGTGACAGGGCGGCGAGAGGACGTGGCCACAGCCCGTCGGGAGATCATCTCAGCAGCTGAGCACTTCTCTATGATCCGCGCCTCCCGCAACAAGTCAGGAGCAGCCTTCGGTGTGGCCCCTGCACTGCCGGGCCAGGTGACCATCCGTGTGCGAGTGCCCTACCGAGTAGTGGGCCTGGTGGTGGGCCCCAAGGGGGCAACCATCAAGCGCATCCAGCAGCAGACCAACACGTACATTATCACGCCGAGCCGGGACCGGGATCCGGTGTTCGAGATCACTGGTGCCCCGGGGAACGTGGAGCGTGCGCGCGAAGAGATCGAGACGCACATCGCCGTGCGCACGGGCAAGATCCTCGAGTACAACAATGAGAACGACTTCCTGGCCGGGAGCCCCGACGCCGCGCTCGACAGCCGCTACTCGGACGCCTGGCGGGTCCACCCACCAGGCTGCAAGCCGCTCTCCACCTTCAGGCAGAACAGTCTGGGCTGCATTGGCGAGTGTGGAGTGGACTCTGGCTTTGAGGCCCCGCGCCTGGGCGAGCAAGGCGGGGACTTTGGCTACGGCGGATACCTGTTTCCGGGCTACGGCGTGGGCAAGCAGGACGTGTACTACGGCGTGGCCGAGACTAGCCCCCCGCTGTGGGCGGGCCAGGAGAACGCCACGCCCACCTCAGTGCTCTTCTCCTCCGCCTCCTCCTCCTCCTCTTCTTCGGCCAAGGCCCGGGCTGGGCCGCCCGGCGCACACCGATCTCCTGCCACCTCTGCAGGACCCGAGCTGGCTGGACTCCCCAGGCGCCCGCCAGGAGAACCGCTCCAGGGCTTCTCTAAACTCGGGGGAGGCGGCCTGCGGAGCCCCGGTGGCGGGCGTGATTGCATGGTGTGCTTTGAGAGCGAAGTGACTGCCGCCCTCGTGCCCTGCGGACACAACCTGTTCTGCATGGAGTGTGCAGTACGCATCTGCGAGAGGACGGACCCGGAGTGTCCCGTCTGCCACATCACAGCCACGCAAGCCATCCGAATATTCTCTTAAGTCCCCTGCCCCGTGTGTCCTAGGCCCACTCCCCAGGGGCCGTCCCTGGACTTCTTTTCCACTAGGGCCTTTTGGAAATCAATGAGTTTTGCAGGGCTAGGTGCTTACAGATATTCGCTCGCTGGGGAGGGGGGTGGAAGGGAGGCCATGGTGGCTGGAGGGTGGGCCACTTTCAGAGCCTCTGGTCACCCTGCCTTGGAAAGATTGGGAGGGGGGCCAGACCGAAAATTTTACTAGAGTTACAACTCTGATACCTCAACACACCCTTAAATCTGGAAGCAGCTAAGAGAAACTTTTGTTTTGCCAGAGGTGGCCGCTAAGGCGTCCTGACCCCCTCTGCCCACCTCCCCAACTATGTGTTACTGCCCTATCCTCTGTGGAGGGGGTGGGGAAAGGGAGAGGGAGAATTACCATCTGTATCTAGAGGTGCTCTTTGCAGTTCTTGGCCCTCTCTGGTCCTGACCTCCGACCTCCTAACGTGACCCTTTAGCAACCCCCCCACCCCCACCCATATCCTGTTTGGGAAACTTGTTCCCAGACTTTCCTATAGTATAGGGGAACTGCTGCCCAGCAGAAGTCTGCATAGATCTTCTGTGGGGCGGGTGGGATGGGGAGCAGCCTGTCAATCAATAAAGGGCTCAGAATTCATCTGTCCTAGCAAGGCTGGGCTAGAGGAGTCTGGAGAGCGGCGCCCCTCTCCGCCCCTCCAGTTCTTCCCTGTCTTCCTTCCTTTGGTTCTTCTTTGCTTTTTCCTTTTTTCTAGCTCTTTTTTCTTCCCCTGAGCGGCTGTCACTCCCAGCCTTGTCTGGCTCCTTCTCTTTCTCTTCTCCCTTCTCCCCTTTTGCTCCTGTTCCTTCCAGCCCAGCTTTGGGGACACCGCCTGTTGGGGAAAAGTGGGGGAAGAACCTTTTGATGAACCCTCAGTTCCTCTCCAGGCATTGGAAGGCCCTCTCCCCACTCCTCCAAAGAAACATCTCCAACCCTTGATGGAATGTATCCCCCGTTCTCAGTGACACTTTGAGAGGGGGACTAATACCGGGGTACATAAAGGGTCAAATACCCACCTTCTTCACCTATGGGCATTATATTTAGGGAGCAGTTCCCACGCTGGGTTTTCTGGCTGTGGGCAAGGGGAGCAGAAGCAGGAAAGGGCCGGGGTAGGAGAGATGTGGTGGGGTGACCCCCTCTCCTGCAGTGCTCCCTTCCCTGGTTCCTCTCTGGACCTGACTGAACCTTTATTGAATCCTTATTAGTGTGCAAATCATGAAATGTCTGTCCTACCCACTGTGGTTGAGGAGAGAGGCCAGGTCTTACGAGAGGGGTCAGGCCTGGGCAAAGCAGGATGGAGGTGCTTCAGGGCCTGTTCCGAGAATCATGTATTGTGACAGTCCTGGCACCCCCTTTGCTGCCTCCCTACTGCTCACTTGGGGCTGCCACCAGCCTCCCACCCTCCTGGTTCCGCTGGCCGGGCCAGGAGAGGATGGGGATGGGAGCCCCAGAGGGCCCAGGAGATCTTGTATATAATGGGGTGGGACTGTTGTGCGTGATCTCTGAGCACTTAAAGCTCAGGAGTCCCATTCTTCCAGAATGGAGAAGGGGTGCAGGGACGGAGGCACAGAGGGAGTCCCCTCCTCTCCTTTCTCCTGTTGTGAATTAATTCACCTCTCCTCAGCCTTCCCCTCCAAACCACCAGCCTGGGAGGGGAGAGGAAGGAGGTCACAGCCCAGAAAACTGGCCTGTGGCAACTTCCCTCCTTCCCGCCAATGTGAGCCATCCTGAGATGTCTGTACAATAGAAACCAAACCAAATGGGCACCCTCGGTCACCGAGGGGCGGGCGGGAGGGGGGTGGGAAGAAGGGATGTCTGTCTGTGGATCCCCCTCCCCCTCTCCACTCCTTACCCACAAAGGCAAAAGACTGTTACACTAGGGGCTCAGCAATCCAATCCCACCCTTACTGAGTGAGCCAGACCTAGGAACAAAACACACAGCAACAAAACAGGAGAGAAAGCGAGAGTAGGAGAGTAGGAGAGGGAGCGAGATGGGTGACAACACAGGAGAGGAAACAAAAATAGCAAAAAAAAAAAAAAAAAAAAAAAGCAGTTCTTTATAATTTAATATTCTATTTTAATAAAGGCGTTTATTACCGTATAAATGTAGCAAAGAACCTGGGCTAATATGAAAAAAAAAAGACTTTTTATTAGGTAATTTATTATATGAAAAGGATATTTTATTTTATGATAAAGTGATCCTTAAAAAAAAATAAAAAAACTTTAGAAGGTTTAGAATATATGTAGGGAGAGAAGAAGAAGAAAAAAATACATTTGTATTCAGAGTTAAATCTTAAAAAAAAAAAAGTGTTTTTAATATATGTTCGGGTTTACGTTCCTTTTTTCCCCCACTTTTTTTTGGGGAGGAATGTCATTTGCTTTTCTTGGGGGAGCATCCTGGGATGGAGGGTGGAGAGAAGGACTGGGGAAACCTGGTCCCTTCTGGGGCCCTGCAAGTAGATTGGATTTCACTGGGTGGGCTCCCCCTCCCCTCTCCCCCTTCCCCCTCAGGGGAGCCGGCAGAGCCAAACAAAGAAAGGGATTAACTAGAAAGGAAGAAGCTGTGGGACTAAGGACTGAGGATCCTGGGGTGTCCCCCCCTTCCCCTGCCCTGTCCCAGGGGCTACTGCGGAGGGGAGATCCAGAACTGAGGCCTAGTAGGCCTACGGGAACCCTCAGAGAGGTGTGAGATTTAACAGAAATAGATTTTTTTTTTTTTTTAACCAAAAAGAGAAAGAAGAAAAAAGAAAGAAACCGAGGGGTTTAAAAGAAAAGAATACTACAAAATAATAATAATAATTCAAATTTATTTCATATAATCCTAGAGAAAGAAAGAAAGAATTACTAGTTACTTAGTAGACGATATTCAGATAGTTTAAAGTTTAGTAGCATCGAGGACCCCTGGGTCCAGTAGAATGTATAAAAGTCGTATCAAAAAGAATAGAGGAGGGAAATGGCTGAGTCCACCCTGGTCGCCCCATCTTCAGGAATCAGGGTTGGAGCAGGTTGCTAGTTAAGATTGGGAGCTTCCAGTCTGCTGGGGTTGATTCTGAGAATCCGTGGATTTTTTAATTGTAGGACAGATAGATGAGGGGCTCGTTCCCAGGGTCTTTGAAAGGGTGCACACTGACCACCTCAGCCAGGTGGGGGGCTGGGCTGGGGGCAGCAGAGGAGGCTGAGCACGTTGACCTACACACCCTGTACCTGGGGGCCTTCCCATCTCTGTTGGGCAGCCCTTGTGGCAAAGTGGTCCATCCTCTCTGGGGACTCTCAGGGAGGATGGAGACTGCTTGCTTCAACTCTCCCAAGTCAGCTTCTCCCAGGCCTGAGGAAGTCCTTACTAAAGTATAACCTCAATTCACTTTACTACAGATAAGAGCCAGGTAAACCATCCCACAGACAAGTCAGTCGAACACACTTTCCACCATCCCAGGGCTTCAAGAGCCCTGAGGGGATCAGTCCCCCATCCCGTTCCCTTTCAGCATTTAATGTTGCTTTTGACCTCTGAAAGTAGTGATCTCAATAATTATTCTCCTTTAAATCTGTATGGTGCTTTACAGGTTTGCAAGTTATCTCATAAAAGCTAGATTTCAAGAAGGACTTTCTACCCAGTGAGGTGGAATGGAGACGACTATCCTCCAAGGCCTGGGAGAATAGCCCCCCCAAGAACACAGAGACAGGTAGGGGCACAGGGGCTTTGGGTGACCCCAGCTCTTAACCCCTCTACTCCAGCCCTAGGGGTCATCCACTGTGCCCTGGCACAGGGGCACGTGGCCTTCCCCACAGAAAACTGGGAGGCTAGCTTTGCATGTGAGGAATCAACATTTAAGCACTTGCCTCCTACCAAACCCAGCAGTCGACCCGATCAGGCCCTTTCCTCCTATCCCAGAGGGTGGAGAAGCCCTTGGCTCTCCCTTTGGCATGAGGTGCCTGTTCCTTTATACCAGTGACTCTGCCATGCCGTTCCCTGACCCCAGCCCCCAACATCTCCCTCTCCCCAATTTACTCTTCTTGCCCCACCTAGGGACAGATTTCCCCCCTGCTCTTTTTGTCCTCGAACCCTCGCTAGTCTGGGATGGTAGTGTCTGGGATGGGGAGGGCCTGCTTCCCCTTCCCCGCTCGAGGGTGCGGGTGGGGTAGGGTGGGTGGGTGGAGACCGCCCTGGGGCAGAGAGGATGGTCTCTCCACTGTAGAAAGTAGAGTAGGATTGTGGTCAGACTTAATTTGAGGCATCTAGTGAAGACACATCCACCAAGGAAAAACAATTTCAAAAGCAAAATAAAAGCGGGAAATAAAACGGACCCATGAATAATCAAGTCAAAGTGATGTTGCACAAAATGCAGAGAAACCAAGAAGGGGGAGGGTTAATGTATTAAATGTGCTATTAAGAACTTAATTTTATTAAAAGTATTATTACTTAAAGCTTTGTCTTCCTCTGTGTTTCACTCTGCATCGACCTGGGGTGAGAGCCAGGGACTGTGGTGGGGATGTCGATCCTGGGGGGCTCTCTCTGCTTTAGCTCTGGGTGCCCCTAACGCCCCTTGTGGGAAGTGGTGCCTCCAGGGTTCCCTGCCATTGGCTGCCCTCTCCGTTCTCCAAAGCTCTCAATCCCTGTCTCTTCCTTCCACATTTACTCCCTTCTTTTCCTTGGAGATGTGTCCGCACCTCCTACCCTGCCCTGCAGAACTGGGGAAGTTGAAGCAAGGGGAAGAGCCCTTGCCTGGACTCCTCTCCCAGGCTCCATGGAGAAGATGCAGAGGGCTGAGCGACCCAGAGCCTCCCCTACTCACCCTGCTAGATTCAATCCATCCCTCTGGGGAGAGGCAGGAGACTGGATGGAGGACTTCAGCCTTCAACCTCCCAGCCCTGCCTCCCCTTCTCTCCTGTATCTCCCTCAGCCTCCTCCTCTTGCCCCTGGCATTGGCGTGACCTCAGTTCTTGGCACCAGGACCCTGGGCACCAGATGGTGCCCGCCGATGGTTTCCTTTGTCTCGCCTTCCAGATACCCCTCCCCTCCAGGCTGTCCTCCCTCCCCACCTGCCCTGGAGGTTGGCAGAGGGAAGGGCGGCACCTCCCTCTCCCTTGGCACTGTCCCCAGACCACAGAACTCCAGAGGCAGCTGGCCCTGGGGGACAGTCAGGATGGTGGGGAAGACTGGAGAAGGAGGAGGAGGAGAGGGGATCTGGGATTCAGAGGACGGGCCAAAGTTGGGTAGGAGGCACAGACAAGTGCAAGAGGAGGAACCATAGGAAGCAGCAAGACGGCCAGGCATTGATACAAAACAGATTTATTTGAGGGTCCTAGCCTATGTGGGGTAGATAGTTCATAAAGATACGCATGGAGGGGCATGAAGACCCCAGGGCTCTGGGGGGCTGTGAACCAAAGGGCAGAGAGTCCTGCAATGGGGGTGGGGTGGGGAGCTTCAGGAAGCATGGGGGTGGGGGGCAGGGTTGGTCATGGCCAAGGTCAGAGGCTGATGCAACAGGCCCTCTTCTGCCCAGGGCCAGGCTCCTGCCCAGCCTGGGCACTGCCCAGGGTGATGGCATTGGTCCGGGTGCTATTCTGCCTCTGCTTGGACACCTTGGCAAAGATCTCTGAGAGGATGGAGGGCAGTGATCAGGCCCGAAAGTTTGGAGGTGCACACGTACACACCCACCTGCACGCACACACTCTGCGTGTCCATTCTGAGAATCAGGGGCTGGCCACACATACAGTACGAGGGGTTCTGCCAGAAGGACGTGGACTTGGGGTACACAGGTCCCTTCTACTTACCTGAGTGGAAAAGGAACCGCTCACTTTCCCCTGGGAAGTGTGGCTTTATGTTTCCTTCCCTCAGCTGCAGGCTGAGTGGGAGGCCCTGGGGGTGGCAGGGGCCCAGGGGCCTGTGCAGTGGTGGTACAGCTCTGGGGGGGGGGCCCACAGTGGGCTTAACGGAGTGTCTGCATTTCTACCACTGCCCTTTGAAGCCCCAGGGACGGAAGGAGGGTGCCAAATGGAGGCAGGCTCTAACCTTTGAGGACAGTCTCAAAGGCCAGTTCGACATTGGTGGAGTCCAGGGCTGAGGTCTCCAGGAATAGCAGCCCATTGTTTTCTGCCAGGAATGGAAACACTCGATTAGCTGTCGGATCAAAGGCGTAATAACAATAATAGCAGCAACAACAACTTAATGTGTTATGTGCTAAATCCTTGGTATATAGTAACTCTTTTAATCCTTCAAACAACCGCTGAGACAGGTAGTTAGGAAACTGAATCAGAGAGAATGAAGGAACTTACATCCATGTCTCACATCTAGTAACAACAAGAGGAGATGGGAGGCTGGGCCATGGGGGCGGGGACCCTGAAGCACTATTTTGTGCTGCTGGTAAGCCTAGAAAAGCCCTGGAGAAAGAGCAACTGGAGATGACCAAGGGGAGCCCACCAGCATCTTTGAGCATTGCAGGGAAGGGCTGTCCTAAAATCAACTATGAATGATTGCTGAGGAAGACCATCTCAGGGCAAGTGGAGGGACATGATGGCAGACACAGGGTCCCAGAGGGAAGTACTGGGAGACACTGAGCAGGACTAGATGGAAGTCGGGCGTGATGGCGCTGGGCTGGCCTGTAATCCCAGCAGTTGGGAGGCTGAGGCAGGAGGATTGCAAGTTCAAAGCCAGCCTCAGCAAAAGCAAGGTGCTAAGCAACTCAGTGAGACCCTGTCTCTAAATAAAATACAAAATAGCGCTGGGGATGTGGCTCAGTGGTTAAAAGACCCTGGGTTCAATCCTTGTACAAAAAAAAAAAAAAAAAAACAGTGGATGAAGATAGAGAACCAGGGGCCCAGATGGAGGAAACCCACACTGGGGGCCCCCGGGGTGAGAGTGGGGACTAGAAAAGATGGAGCTGGTGGGGTGTGGGCAAACTGGAGGAGTCAGACTGGGTGGGGGTGGGCTCTCACCAGCGAACATGCGGGCCTCATCAGTGGGCACTTCCCGGGCCTGGCTGAGGTCACTTTTGTTCCCCACAAGCATGACAACAATAGTGGCCTCAGCATGGTCATAGAGCTCCTTCAGCCAGCGCTCCACGACAGCATAGGTCTGGTGCTTGGTCAGGTCGAACACCAGCAGGGCCCCCACTGCTCCACGATAGTACCTGGGTGGGAGTGGGAGGACAGACAGGAACAGGACAGACAGGGGTGTTGGGCCCAGCCTCAGAACAGACTCCGGAGCCAAAAGGCCTGAGAGCAGAGTGCCAGATACTGAGAAACACAGAAGCTGGGGTTCAGGGATCCAGACCCCAAGGGAGCAGCCCAAGACTCCCATGTGCTCCAGGGATGCTGGTCTCGGGCTCTGGAGCTTCACCTCTGTGCTTCAGAACCGCACTGGCCCCTCAAAGGCCCGCTACTCCTCGGGTCCTTTGTCCTGATTGTAGTCAGTACTCTTCACCAACGCACCTCCGGGCTCTGGCCAAGTGTGCCTCCTGGATGCCCCACTTCGGAGATCTTTGTCACAGGGCTCCTCAACCTACAGTGCACTCTTCTCTCCGATGGCCATTTCTCAAAGACAGGTCCCTGACCTGGCCACTCAGGGCATCTCTGCCAGCGTCCAGCCTCCCACTGGAGCCGGAATAGCCATCTTCAGCCTCGGTTTGTATAATTTTTCTCTGTTTATTGATTAATCAACTAAGCTCACAAGATGTCAAGTGACCAAAAGTGATGAATGTGTGAGTGTGACCATAACCCTCCCCAACAGCTGCTATCCCCCACCACACACTCATGGAGCACCTTTTACACATTTGGGTCTGATACTGACTAGAAGACACTCTGAATGGGTGTCAGGAATCCTAACTTCCCGTTGTCCTCTGAGATGTTATAAATTACTCCAATTTAGCATTTGTGGTCAGATGAATATTGTCAGATGGAGTGCTGACGTCAGGGGGCGCTGTTGATCCACGGAGCCTGCCCCATCCCTGCTCCACCCTGATTTTATTTCCCCTTGCTTGTATTGAAACCAGGATTAATTATAGCACCTTTCTTCAGGGGTACTTGAAGGGTTACATAAAATGTCAAGTATAAATAAAGTTCTTTGAACTTTCCTGGGCACATGGCAAAGGCTTAGTAAATTGTGGCAAGGACTTTTTTTTCCCTTTCCTTTAGTACAGGGGATTGAACTCAGGGGCACTTTACCACTAAACCACAGCCCCAGCCCTTTCTGTTTTATTTGGAAACAGGGTCTCCCTTAATTGCTGAGGCTAGCCTCGAACTTGTGATCCTCACACTGTTGCCCATCTCCCGTGATTCCTCTGGGAGCACACTGCCGAGCCTCCTCTGCCTCCCCCTGCTCCTCTACTTCTCAGGGGTGTCCCTGACTTCCCCCAGGGCACCAGCAAGCAACCCACCATCCCCCCAGGCCCGGGGCTCACGCCGAGGTGATGGCTCGGTATCGCTCCAGGCCAGCTGTGTCCCAGATCTGAGCCTTGATAGCTGCGGTGCCCAACATGACGGTGCGCGTGGAGAACTCCACCCCGATGGTGGTCCGGCTGTCGTGATTGAACTCGTTTCGCGTGAATCGGGACAGCAGGTTGGTCTTCCCCACGCCTGACTCGCCGATCAGTACCACTGGAAGAGCGGGGAAATAAGGGCTGAGCACCCAGCAGAGGGGCCCTGAGCCCACCTGAGCCGGGAGGGTCTGTCCAGCAGAAAGGCAGAACTGAGCTCCCCAAACTGAGGAGGGAGCCCGTTCTCCTGGCAAAGACTCGGGTCAGCAAGTCGCATAATGCATCTGTCATGGAGGGCAGAGGGGTCAGAAGTTTAAAACAAACAAAGGTGCTGCGAGGGTTGCAGGCCTGCTTCGTTGACCCTGACTGACGGTCAGCCTGCGTTGCTGGGAGGAATGAAATCTGTGGACTCTTCTGGGTGACATGTGAAAAGGTTACTGAGGTGGGTGAATATGGACAGGGATGGGGCAGCACATATCTCTGGCAGGAAAGCACAAGAACGTTGCGCATGTCTCTGTGCATTAGCTGAGCAGACACGTGGGGGAGGGAGATCAGTGTGGATTATTTGCATAGCCAACAAAGATATGAACAGAAGTATGTGTGAGGGGACAATTTAATAGGTGACATATATGTGGGCAAGGGTAAGGTAGGGAGTTATGTGTGCCCATGACTGTGCATAAGAAGTCAGGGTGGTGCACCTCTGTAATCCCAGTGACTCAGGAGGCTGAGGCAGAAGGATTTCATATCCAAGGCCAGCTGCTGCAAATTAGCAAGACCCTGTCTTAAAGGGAAAAGCAAAAGGGCTGGGGATACAGTTCAGTGGTAGAGTGCTCTTGGGTTCAATCCCCAGTACATAAATAAATAAATAAATAAAGAATTCAGTTGACCCTAAAGAGATCCTGCACTGTATGCTTAAAAGCAGGGGACTAATCTAGGCACAGTGACACATGCCTGTAATCCCAGCAGCTTGGGAGGCTGAGGTAGGAGGATCACAAGTTCAAAGCCAGCCTCAGCAAAGGCAAGGCACTAAGCAACTCAGTGAGATCCTGTCTCTAAATAAAATACAAAATAGAGCTGGGGATGTGGCTCAGGGGTCAAGTGTCCCTGAGATCAATCCCCAGTGCCAGAAAAAAAAAAAAAAAAAAAACACAAGAGAATGAGGACTGGGTGTTGGACTAGCTCTGTGTCCTTCAGGAAGCTATTTAACCTCTCTGAACCTTATTTTCATATGAAAAAGGCGGGGGGGTGGTGGTGAATAGCAATAGTATTTACCTTATGGGCTGTTGGAAGAAGCAGATTAGATATTGCCCAGAATATAGCAAATGTATAAAACTGCCAGGTGCGGTGGCACACAGCTGTAATCCCAGATTCAGGAGGTTTGCGAGTTCAAAGCCAGCCTCAGCTGGCAACTTAGTGAGGCCCTTAGCAACTCAGTGAGACCCTGTCTCTAAAAAGGGCTGGGGATGTGGTTCAGTGGTTAAGTGCCCCTGAGTTCAATCCTGGTACCAAAATAACAACCAAACCCCCATGTACAAAACTACTGATATGTTTGGTTGTTGCTGAACTTCCAGTGCTTTTGCCTTGGGTTTTCAGGGACAAGGACCACTAGAGGGGCTACCGAGACCTTTTAGGTGATGAGCAGCACAGGAGCTGCAGCAGGGTATGAGGGGCTGATGTAAGCACAGCCCACACATTGCATGACACTGACCTGAGCCCCCAGCATTGGAGGAGGTCACTCAGGTGGTTCTGGAAAGGCAGCCTGGTACCCAACCACTGGGAGTCACATATCTTGAACTCTGGTCTCTGCTCAGGCTCCAAGCAGCGTGTGAACTTGAAAAAATGGCTCACCTGTTCTGGGCCTCAGTTTCCAACATTAAAAAAAAATTCTTATTTGTACAGGGCAAGAAAGAGCCAGTAGCTCTTTCTTGGTATGTGTGGGTAAGAGGGGTGTGTGTGTGTGTGTGTGTGTGTGTTCCTATCTCTTCCTACTGGAAACCTCATCTCAATTTCATCCCTCCCAGTGGGTGGGTTTCAGGCTCTGTCCTAAGACCCTAAAGTTGCTCAAGATGAGGGTTTCAGAAACAGACTTAGGTTTGAGTTCTACTGACTTTGTGAACTTTTTTCTCCATTATTTTTTATTGGTGCATTATAGTTATATATCATAGTAAGATTTGTTATCTTTGTGAACTTTTGTAAGTTACTTATTCTGTCTCTAAACCTCAGTTTCCTCATCTGTAAAATGAAGTTACTAGATGGGCTCGGTGGCACATGCCTGTAATCCCAGCAGCTTGGAAGGCTGAGGCAGGAGGTTCACGAGTTTATTAAAGCCAGCCTCAGCAAAAAGCGAGGTGCTAAGCAACTCAGTAAGACCCTGACTCTAATAAATACAAAATTAGGACTGGGGATGTGGCTCAGTGGTCGAGTGCCCCCGAGTTCAATCCCTGGAACCCCCCTCCCCCCAAAAAAGGTGTTACTAGTAATTAACGTTTATTGAGTGCTTACTAAGTGTCAGGCACCAGCCTAAGAGCTTTACACATATTAACTTATTTAATCCTCAGACAACAATGCCCTGAGTAAGTGCCATTATTATCATCCCCCACCTACCCCACCACAGGGAGTGCAGGCAGTAGACAGCCTCCAGCTGCCAGCTTCATCAGAAGCTGACTCTGATGCGGACAGCAACCTCCCGGGAAGTCATATCTTTCTTTGACAGTCCCTTCTTGATGGGGGGCTGAGCAAGGTGAGGTCATCACAGAGCCCAGCAGCCTTGGCCCAGGCTTTGAGGAGTTGTTGGTGTGGTTGACTTCTCCCTCTTCCCCAGCCTGTCTCCTCCCTCTTGCTTTTGGTCCCTGATCAACACGGGGCACCCAGACCTTAGAGTCAGCTTCTGGTGAGCCCTCCTACACTAACCTATAAGTGGCAGGTGAGACCTCATGCTGTGCTTCCTCTCAGAATGCAGGATAACTTTGGGGGTCGTTATGGTGATTAATGAATTAGTGGCTGGTACCTAGTAAGGGCACCCGGACTCCTGTCAACCCTTACTCTGTTTCTCCTTCCTGGGAAGGACGCCAGAAGTACAGGTTCCCCAACCTGAACAAGGGTGGGGCTGAGGCCGGGGAAGGCAATGGGGTGAGGTGGGGTGGGGTGGCTAGAAAGGGATCAGAGCTTTACCAGGCCACCCTGCCCTCGAGGAGGTATGGAGGTGGCTTTGGGGAATCACAGTGGGACCAAACACAGGGGCCAAGGTAAAGAAGGAAGGATAGGTGAGTATTTCCAGAGACAGCCAAGTTGAATTCAGTGCCTAATATTCAGGTCCAAGGAATCTGCCAAGGGACAGTAGCTCAGGTCTCAGCGCCAGGAGTCCCCTGGATTTTATCAGACCCAGCTCCAAATTCATTATACTTCCTCAGTGTCTTTCCTGTATATTTACAGACTAGCCCAATAAAGATAGATCTTCTCTTTCTCTCCTTTTCCATACATCTGCCCAGAAAAAATGATTTTATTCCTGTCAAATGTTTGTTTCTCCCTCTATCCAGAAAGAAAGTCCTTTCTGAAGTCTGACCTGCATCTCTTGTGCTGTGATGTCTGACTATTCCCAGGGATCCGGGCTTCTATTAAGAACAAGGCCAAGAGGGCAGTATAAAGGCATGATGAGCATCGTTATTTACAACAGTGGGGCGTACTTGGCAACTCCAGAACCTTCGCTCCCTGTCACCAGACCCTCCTTCACTTCCTGCACCTTCCTTTCTGAGCTAGAGGGAATCAGGAGCCGTGGGGAGTCCTAGGAAGAGACGCAAAGCAGGAGGGGGTCCCCTCTGACTCTATTCATTCATTCCTGGTCTTCTCAAGCTTCCTCTCTCTCTCTCTAAGGACCCCAACTTACCTTTGAAAACAAAGTTATAATCTTCCTCGGTCCCATTCCCCATCTCGGCTCCGCATGGAAGGTGCAGATGTCTTCAGTGGCAGAGGTCACAGTGTGTGCGTCAGCTCAATGCCCTGAACGCTCAGCTCTCAAGAGACCTGGACCCACTTCTCTTCTCATTGGGGGCAGGATGGTTTCTACAGCCAAAGGGACTGAGGACCGACTCAAAGCCAGCCAGGTCCAGGGAGGCTGGGTTCTGGCAGGTGGGGTGCTGGGTGGAAACCGAGAAGACGGAAGCTGAGAACAGGAAGAGCGGGCGCTGGAGACCTGGGGCCCAGGTGGGTGGAGAGAGGGTGACGTCAGACAGGTTGGACAGGTTGGGTGTCTGCCCTCAGCCTGGGCTCCCACAAGGGGAGAGACAACTCTAAGGGGTAACAGTAGGGAAGCTGGGGACAGGGTCTTTGGACAGAGGCTGCTGAGAGCTGAGTGTGTGCTGCTTAGCTCCTGCCCCAGCCATGGGGAGAGGTGGGGCAGCCATCAGTGGGAGAGAGACAGCTCCTTGGGAAGCAGAAACCCACTTGGTGGCCTACTTTTCCTTCAGAGGCCCTGGTAGGAGTCTGCCGGAGGACCAGAGAAGGGTTGTTGCAATAAGGGGCAGGGGCTGGTGGAATGCCAGCCACCCAGGTGCAGAGCACAGCTGTGGGAGCTGCATCTTGGCCAGAGACTTCTGCCCCTCCCTCACAGCCAGGGCCTGGGATGGGCAGTATTTCTCACCCAGGGTGGAGCTGGACTCTCTATTTTTTTTGGTACTGGGAATAGAACCCAGGGCACTTAACCCCTGAATGACATCCCCTGCCATTTAAAAAATATATATTTTATTTAGAGACAGGTCTTGCTGAGTTGTTTAGGGCCTCGCTAAGTTGCTAAGGTTGCCTTTGAACTTTCGATCCTCCTGCCTCAGCCTCCCAAGCGGCTGGGATTATAGGTGTGCACCACGGCTCCCAGCTGGGACTCTGAATTTTCTACTTGCCTGGTCCCTTCCTCGGGCACTGGGGCAAGGGACTCACCAGCACAGACCTGCTCTAAGGACACTGAGGAGGGAAGATGTGAGGCAGAAAGAACAGACGGGGTGAGTACGGAGGCAGGATCTGGAGATCAGAGCCTCTGGGCAGCCTTCTAGGATTCTACTCCTTGTCGGATCCGAGGTCTCACAACAAAGGCATCTTGTCTGCAAAGGGCTTCAAGATCTGGAAGGACCAGGCATGGTGTTGCACACCAGTAACTTCCAGTGACTTAGGAGGCTGAGATAGGAGAATCGCAAGTTTGAAGACCAGCTTCAGCAACTTAGTGAGAACCTGTCTCAATTATATACATAAATTATATGTATGGGTGTGTGTGTGTGTGTGTATTTTCCTGGAAAGGGTCTGGGTGAGCCTTTGAACACCTGGGAGAAGAGGAAAGGAATGGCCCCCCATTTTGGGCAGTCAGAGGGACCCTTTCAATCAAAACCTCAATCAAGGATACTAAACTCCCGGGGCCTTCCATGTATTCTTTTCCCAAACCTAACCAGTTCTTTGCTCATCTGAGCTCACTCCTAAGGTTTTGCCAACCAGGTGGGTAAGATTCTGCTCTGAGTGGCAGAGGTTAGGTAAGGTCACCACTGGATAGGCAAAGGAAGCTTGCACCAGCCAAGAACCATCAGGTTATGGGATGTCACGGTGAAGGAAGGATGGGTGGAAATCCACTCTTGTAGAACATGAGGAATCCTCTAGGCCATCCCTGGTCCTTCCTATGGTCTTTGATTCCTTCCATCCAAGAAAGTAGCCAAGAAACAAGTCAGGAGTTAACATTTATTCTGGAAAATACAAAAGCCCACCCTTCCCCCACAGTTCAGGAGGGTTTGCCCAGGAGGCCTTGCCCCTCTGACTGGTCATCTCTCTTTTCTGACCCCAGCCTCCATCAACGCCCATTATGATGCCGCTACTTGGGTGAGGGGCTCCTCCAGGTACTGCACCAAGGCCTGAGCCTGCAAGAGGGTGAGCACACATCAGTCCACCCAGAGGGATCCCAACCCAGTCTGATCCCCAAGACATACTGAGCAACCACCTGCTCTTGGGAGTTCATTCACAGCAGACATGGACTAAGGAGACAGAACTCCAGAAAGGGAATGTGGATCGGAGTAGACCAGGCGACAGAGCACAAAGGCCGGGCCCAGAGCGGTGAAGAGATGGGCACATACATACCTTGGCCTTCAGCATCCCAAAGCCCACTGTCTCCTTGGCATACATGCACAGCAGAAGGTTGGCCACACGGGTGATGGCTACACGGCCCTCCTGTGGGGATCATATGATGGGATGGGATGTTCTGCTTGGCACTTGGAGTCCCCCTTCCCCAACAGTTCCTCGGGCTCTAGAGACTGCATGCCCTAGCACAGCAAGAGGTTCAACTGACAAGCATTGGTCATAGTCCTGGATGTGAGGTTATCTACCCTAGGGAACAGTCTCCCAGAAACCTGACTTCTCTTTCTGAATCCCCAGTCAGCAGGGGCATTAATACATACATTAAAGATTTTTTTTTTCATTAGTCTTTTGGATTTTGTTTTTGTTTGTTTGTTTTTTGGTACCAGAGATTGAACACAGGGGCACTTAACCACTGATCCATATCCCCAGCCCTTTTTATTTTTTATTGTGAGACAAACTCAATAAGTTGCTTAGGGCCTCACTAAGTTGCTGAGACTGGCTTTGAACTTATGATTCTCCTGCCTTACTCTCTATAGCTCCTGGGATTACAGGCATGCACCACTGCACCTGGCTGATTACAGAGTTTTACATCTTGTAACAAATTATCCAACAGGTGATGTTATTATTTGTCTGTCTGCTTGTTTTCTTTCTGTACTGGGGATGGGGATAGAACCCAGGCTGGTTTGATCAGCATTAAAAAAAAAAAAAAAGCAGCAGCAGCATCAGCATCTGGGCAAGGTGGTGCAGACCTGCAATCCCTCAGCTCTGGAGGCTGAGGCAGGAGGATGGTGAGTTTGAGACCAGCCTCAGCAATTTAGCAAGACCCTAAGCAACTCAGTGAGACCTTGTCTTAAAACAAAAAAAATATAAAGGGCTGGGGATGTGGTTCAGTGGTTAAGCATCCCTAAGTTCAATCCTTGGTACTAAAAAAAGAAAAGGAAAAAAAAAAAAAAAAAACTCATGTAGTAAGGGAAAAATGTTTCAAGAAACTTTCTTTTTAGTGGATGCATATATGTGATAAGCTCTGATTTAAAATGCATTACTTGTGGCTGGGGTTATAGTCAAAATATTTGGAAGTCATTGCCAATAGCACCAACTCCACACTATGCAATAGTAGAAGTCATTTGTTAAACCAAAATGGCATTGGTTGGGCATGGGATGGGGAACAGTAGGTAGTGGAGTAGAGATCCTTCCTGGGGAGTTCACCGTTAGGGCCTGTTCTGGTTGGTTCTGCACACCTTCCCTAGGTATTACCTTGATGGGAATCAGGCACTGCACCCCTGCCTCTCCGGCTCCATCTACTACTCTCCCCAGTTCTCATGCCACTCCGGCCATACCAGCCTTGTTGAGCCTTGACCAGGCATCATTTTGCCCCAGTCTTTGTACTTGCTGTTCTGATAGAAACTCGCTGTTCTTCCTCCAGATAGCTAAACAGCCTGCCCTGACCTCCCTCCCCCAGCACCTTCCTTCAGATCTCAGATCTTTTCGGGTCTCTTATTCAGGCCTCTGATACACACCACCCTCACCCCATTTTCCTCATTTTAGTTTTTTTTTTCCTTAACTATATTTTATATATATATATAAATAAAATCAGAGGTGCTTAGCCACTGAACCATCTCTCCTAGCCTCCCTGTCCCCACCCCCCTTTTTTTAAATTTTGAAATAGGTTCTTGCTAAGTTGCTTAGGGCCTTACTAAGTTGCTGAGGCTGCTTTTGAACTTGCAATCCTTCTGCCTCAGCTTCCTCAGTTGCTGGAATTACAGGCATGCAACATGGTGCCCAGCCTAATGTGTTTTACTTATTTTTAAAATATAAGACTGTAAGCTTCATGAGGCTGGGGTTTTGCCTGTTCCATTTGCTAGTTTTTCACTAGTTCTAAGAACATTGCGGGAACCTGATGACTGAACAGATTCAGAGATGAACGAGATAGTTCCTGTTCCAAAGAAGTTCACATTTCCTCTTTTTGCACTGCATTTCCTTTCTTTGTAAACTGAAGGTGTCTAGAGACTCTGCTGTGGTTCTGTGAGTCAGAAGAAGCAGATGACAACACTTGGATCACACTCCGTTTAAATCTAACCATTCTTTCATTTGATTTTTCACAACACCTGGGGAAGTAGGGAGGGGCATAAGAAATTACTGTTTAGTCCTTACAGAGGAGGTAAGGAAGCTCATAGAGGTTAAGTGATTCACCCAAGGATCCATAACTGACAAGTGATTGGCTGGGACCAGAACGCAAGACAGACCAGAGGTCTCGGGCTCCTTCCTTACCACCACTAGACTCCCAGAGTCCTGCCTATTACAAATGCTGCTGCAGACCAAATCTTAGTAATAATCTTCCGGAGATCTCCCTACCCTTCCAACCATCCAGAATGGAATCCAGGTCTCCCTCTTGAGATCCCCTTAGGGAACAGAGTAAGTCTGACTCCCCTCTTCATACCATGCAGTCCATGAGGATGAATTTGAGATTGTCTTCATTAAATGCCTGGTTCCCATTCCGGTCGTAGGCGGCCCAGATGTTACTCGCGATGGCTGCGGTAACCCGGGCGTCCGTGTCCCCGTAGCCCGAGTAGGCCAGCAGGGATCCCTCGTTATTCAGGAGCCTGGCGAGGGGCGGGGAGGGATACAGACAAGCTCAGGGGAAGAAGCAAAACGCCTGGGTTCCTAACCCTCCTCCCTTCTAGGAAGTCAGGGTCTGGGCCGAGTGTGTCTTGGACCGTGCCCTGCACTCCAGGTACCCGTTCCCAAAGGGGCTCTCATGCTGGTTCCCGCAGCGATTGTCCGCCTCTGTCCCCGCCTCCCTTCGTGGAGATCCTTCCCTAACCCTCCCGCAGCAGCCGCGTACGGCCCCGCTCCAGCACTCGCCGTCGGGTCCTCGAAGCGCACTCACAGGGTGCTCTGGACGCCTCCAGTGTTGGCTTGGCTTAGCACCTGAGTCAAAGCCTTGGGACGCAGCATACCTGCGGCTCCTAACCCTGGGCTCCTGTACCCAAACCCCCAAGCTGCCCGCCGCTAACCTCTGCCTACCGCTTCCCGTACACCTAGGGCCCCGCTCCGCCTCTCCCTGGGACTTGTAGTCTCCCCGCCAGCCTAGCGCCCCTCGGACTGAACCCCGCCCCGCGCGGGGAACGCTGGGAATCGTAGTGCCTTGTGGCCTCGCGAGGCACTCTGGGAACTGTAGTTCGCTTTCCAGTCACACCACGTGGCTGTGGCGGGGGGGGGGCGGTGAAGAGCGGGAGTAAAAGGACAGTGACACTTTTAACCCCTTCGGGGACAGGAAATCATGTCGGCTCGCCAATGCACGGCCCAATAGTCACTTAAAAACCTCGCACTCGTTAGGCACACCGGTGGTCACTTTTCAAAGCGTGGCGTTGTGTACGATTCCGGGAGAAGGGGCGAGCGGCGCTATAATCTCGGGGCCGCGGAGGCTTGGGAAGGCCACGTAGGCAAAATCCCGGTCTCCGAAAGCGCACTCAGTAGACCGCTGAGGCCCCGGGGAGCAGTGTCCGTCCCAGGGAGGTCTTAAGTGGACGTCCAGCGGTGGGGGAAGTTAACCTCCGGGTCCGGAGAGGCCCCAGGCCTGGGAGAGCCTCGAGCTTCCCGAGAAAGACCAAGTTATCTCTGGGGACGGAGACACGGCGGCGACACAGAAAGTCCTTTGTCCCGGAGCGGGAGTTACCCGCCGAGGCGGGGGCGGCCTCGGCCGGGGCCGCGGCGCTCTTCCGGAGGGCTAGGCCGACCGGGTCTCCGGGCGGGAGCGCGCCCCCGGCCCTCGGCCGCTGAGGGTCCGCCGTGCGCCAACCCGAGTGCCGCTGGGGCCACAGCGCAGCGCGGCGCGGCCCGGTCCAGCGGCGCGACCCGGGGCTCGGCCCTGGGCGGACCCGCTGCAGTGGCCCCCCCAGTCCGCCCGGGGCGCTGTGGCGGCGGCTGGTCCGGAGGGGGCGGCGGAGCCTCGGGGAGGGGAGGGGAGGAGAGGAGGGGGTGTCGGAGGCGCCGGAGCCGAGCCGGGCCGGCGAGGCGGGCGGGGAGGAGGAGGAGCCGGACGGGCTGGCGGGCGGCCGGGTGGCGGCGGCGGCGGCGGCGGCATGGCGGAGCCAAGCGGGGCCGAGACGAGGCCCCCGATTCGGGTCACCGTCAAGACCCCCAAGGACAAGGAGGAAATTGTGATCTGCGACCGAGCCTCGGTCAAGGAGGTAGTGCGGCCGAGTGGGGTGGGCGCTCGGAGGAGGGGTCCACAGGGGTGGGGGGCCCGAGTGACGGCCTGGCGTCGGGACTGCCCCCGACAGCAGGGCCGGGGCCAGCGGGGACTCGGGCGGCGGGACCGAGGGGCGGATAGGGGGCGCCCTCCGAGGGTAGGTCGCGGGAGCGTGGCGCGTGTTGGGGGACGGGTTTGGCTTGTGGTGGCCAGGGCTGGGGGCGTGGTGGAGAGCGGGGAGGGGACACCGTCACCCGCACCGGGCCGGAGAGCCTGGGCTCTGGCGGGGTGCACGCCCGCGTTTCTGGTCGGGGTTCGAGTCGCCGAGGCAGAGTGGGGCCCCGGCCCGGGGCTGAGCCAAAGGAAACTGGCGGGAGGCCGGCGGAGCGCCGGGCGCCTGCTGTGCGCCTCGGGGAGCGCCCAGTGTCCGCTGAGCGCCAGGGCAGGGGGTCTTTCCCGCGGCCCCAAGCCTTGCACTCTCTTGAGTCGAGGCAGTTAATGGTTCTTGGCCCTTCTGGGATGCTCGGAGTGCAGTAGGTGCTCAATAAAATCTTTTTGAATGAGTGAGGAGGGACTGTTACCTTACTCTCCCCGGCTTGTGGCAGCCCCAGAATTTCACCTAGGCGGGGCTTAAGATAGGCCATCTGGTTGGAAGAGAGGGATCTGGAAGCTGCTTTTGCTCAGCAAGTGCACTGTTTTTACTTAGAATGTGTGTTTTGTTTTGTTTTGGAGGAGCTGATAGAATTTGGAGAGTCTTAACTCATACTGCTACCCCCCCCATATAAAATTACTAAATACTATAATTTAAATAGTATTCTCTGTAAGACTGAATTTGAACACAGCCCTGAGGGGAGGGGGGTGTTTCTGGTCAAAAGCCTGGACTTTGATGTCCAGACCTGAGTTCCCATCTCCCCAGGACAAGTTGACCTAACCTCGCTGATCCTTGGTTTTCTCTTCTTTTAAAAAGGAGATAATAACTAATACATTAGACAGCTAACCAGTGAAGGGTTAGTGCCCAATAACTGGGGTCCCTTGGTTGTAGTTGTTATGAGAAAGCTGGGAATTAAGAGAGGAGAAAAGGATGAAGCAAGACAGATCCAAGGTTGGGGAAGGAGTTGGCATGGGGAGAGTGCCCATGCAGTACCCTCACTGAGAACTGGATGGAGGGGCTGAAGCTCCGTTCTTAGATATCAGCAAGGGCTTTCTAGGGTAGGAGACTCTGGCATGGAATTGAGAAAAGTGCCTCTTACTTATCCATCTCCTTGATTCAAAGAGCTGCAGCTGGAGGGATGGCTTGAGACTGTAGAAAGAACTTCCCTTGAGTAGCAGTCAGAGTAGAAGCAGAGTCTCTGGTGGGCGAAGCCCATGCAGCCTCCATAATGATATTTGCCTCTTGATAACAGTTCAAAGAGGAAATCTCCCGGAGGTTTAAGGCTCAGCAGGATCAGCTGGTCCTGATCTTCGCAGGCAAGATCCTCAAGGATGGGGACACACTGAACCAGCATGGGATCAAGGATGGGCTCACTGTCCATTTGGTGATCAAGACCCCTCAGAAGTAAGTTGAGGAGAAGAGCAGACCTCACTGTGGACTGGGCCTCCCATCCCTATTTCCCTATCGTTTCCTCCACTGTACCTGGAGGACCCAGGCCAGGCAGGGGGTCTGGGCAAGGGGACCTGACTTAGCACCTAGAACGCCCTGAACACATGATGCTAGTGACCTCCCCCCTCTCCCTGGTGACTGACGCCCCAGCACCCCTCCCAGTCTGAGGTGGGGGTGATGGTGGTTTAGAGGCGGCCTCGGCTTGCAGTGGCTGTGCGGCACACGGATCCAGACGTCACTGTGCTGCCTTCCCTCTTCTGTACCCACTCCAACGGGGAGCCTCCCTTCTCTGTCCTCAGGGCCCAAGATCCAGCTGCTGTCACTGCTTCGTCCCCCTCCACTCCAGACCCTGCCTCAGCGCCCTCCACCACGCCCGCTTCACCTGCCACCCCTGCCCATCCCTCTACCTCTGGCAGTGCCACTTCGGATGCTGGCAGTGGAAGCCGGAGGAGCAGTGGTGGGGGTCCCTCACCAGGGGCAGGGGAGGGACCCCCCAGTGCTACTGCATCTATTCTCTGTAAGCCCTTGGGGAGGAGAACACGATCCTGGGTTGTGCTGGAGTGTGGGGAGCCAAGGAGGGAGAGACAGTCCTTGCTCTTAGTGGGATGGGAAGGGGAGCCCTGGACACAGCGTTCCAGACCCTGGTGCTTGAGCCAAGCTGAGGAGGAAGCCAGTCTGTGAGGGCTTCCTGGAGGAGGGGAACATAGCTCAAGTGCTAGGAGGGAAGGGAGAGATGGAGATGGGGATGTGGGGGCCCCTGAGTGAGGAGATTGGAAAAGATGGCTCCAACAGTAGGCTGATGGGAGGACTTAATTTACTCATTGAGCGGTGCCCTGCTGGTGGATGGAAGTGCTCTCAACCCTCCCTAGGCTGACATCTCTCTGCCCAAAGCAGACCAGGGCGGGGACTGTGGAAGTCACTGGAAGAGGGAGATGTGAGAAGCCCCCGGACCCACCCATCCTGGAGACCCAATTCTGTGGCTGTGCTAGGAGGGGGAAGGGCTCCTGGGGTAAACTGTGACCCTGCCCCCTCCTCACAGCTGGCTTTGGGGGCATCCTGGGCCTGGGCAGCCTGGGCCTGGGCTCTGCCAACTTCATGGAGCTGCAGCAGCAGATGCAGAGGCAGCTGATGTCCAACCCTGAGATGCTGTCGCAGATCATGGAGAACCCCCTGGTCCAGGACATGATGTCTAACCCTGACCTGATGCGCCACATGATCATGGCCAACCCCCAGATGCAGCAGTTGATGGAGCGGAACCCCGAGATCAGCCACATGCTCAACAACCCCGAGCTCATGCGGCAGGTGGGTAGGGCAGAAGGCTGGAGGGTGGAGAGGCACTGGCACCAGCCTCTCCAACGTCCATTTGTTCATTCACTCACTTAGCAGCCACGTTTTGGACATTTGAGGTACAGGGATAAAAAGATTCATGCCTAGCTTTCTAGGAACTCCTGGTGTCCAAGGGAAGGGGACAAGTGAATGGGCAATTATAGAACAGTGTGGTCGTTGCTGTCCTAAGTGCAGTCACCAGTGTCCTAAGGACAATCACAGCATAAGAAAGGGCTTCTGACCCTATCCTGGGGCTTGGAGAAGGCCTGGTGGAGGAGGTGTCACCAAGCTGAGACCCAAAGGAAGAAGGTGGGTAAACTAGGGGAAGAAAGAAAAAAAAAAAACTCAAGGTCAAGGGGCAGTAAGGCAAAGCCCTGGAAATAAGAGACAGTAGGATGTTGGAGAGCATTATTATGGCCGAGTAGGCCTGGGGAAGAGGCCCAGCAGGGGCTGTTTGAGTGTTGGTGTTTGGGGACTTCATCTCATGGTCCAGTCCACCAGGGGACGAGAGCAGATGGTCCTCCCAGCGGAGTTGTGGACACCAGTGCAGGACTCACCAAAAGACAGCTTCTTTTAGGAGAGTTGTTCCTTGTCTAAAACTGTGCCTATATGTAGTGGTCACTCAGTAAGTACTGATTGGGTATTTGGACTATGGGACAAGTGGGAGTTCTGTGAAGGCAGGGGTATAGTCTGGAAAGCAGTCTTAGAAGAGGCAGGTGTGGAACAGATGTTGGAACAAGGAGAGGGAAGGTGTTCTGAGTTGGATGGGAATAAGAAGTGGCTTGCTCACCTTGTCATAAATCCCCTGGTGTGGATTCAGGCCATGGGCACCAGAACAGAAAGCCCCCATCTTCAGTGTGGCTTAAGGCTCAGTCAGGCCGAAGACTGGGGTGGTGGTCAAGGGGTGTGTGGAGCACTGTCCCAGCAGAGTCCTTCCCTGCCCAACTTGTAGTTGTTTACTAGGAGCCACAGTGTGA